ATTCATGTTTTATTTTGACTGTTAATCATTATACTCATCATTGCCTTTGTCCTAGTGTTTGTAAACTATTCAATGTTGAATAAAGTACAAACATAAAAAAAACTGATGAACGTGAACAGCGTCTATCCGAGGAAATCGAAACCTACTGAGCTGAAACAAAAGAGGAAGTGCATGTGCAGGAAGAGCAGTGAGAGCTGGACACAGGTGAGGAGAAGACAGAGAAACACATAGACCTTAGGGCTTTGATTGCTGTTATCTCTTTACGTCATTTAAGATCGATCTTCGACCGCTGCGTCCATCATGGAATCTGTAAACTACGTAGCTGCGCTAAACGAGTACGGACAGAAAACAGGCTACGAGGTGATTTTTGAAGACGTGGGCTCCGCGGGACCCGACCATGATAAGATGTAAGTTCATACACACGTGTTAGATTCAATCATGAAGCTATTAGAATACCATGACTCTAAATATACAGCTGCAGGATTGTCTCAGGTTTTTACTTACAGTCCAAATCATTCGGAGTGATTCAGGTCATCTGGGACACCGAAGCTTCCGCCTGTTTATCTCCTGTCCCATCCAAATCAAGTCAACAGGACTTTTACCTTAGGGTAGCATGGACATCACATGACATGACATGACAGTCACATGACTTTATTGGGGCGATGTCACAGAAAGGGTCATTTAGACCCCCACCTGGATTTGCTTGAAAAGGTCAGTGACATAATTCAGACCAAGGTAAAGGATTTAAACATTGTTTGGTTGTCACACTTTATCAAACATGCTTGATAATGTGGGACATCATGCTTTGGCTAAACAGTCATTTAAATTCTCTCCATCCTGAAGTAAAAAAGAAGAAACTAAAGAGATGCAGCATGTGATCTGTAGTTGTCAGACAGGAGTTAATGGTAGATACAGTCTGTCCATGTCTGTCAACTTATAATAGCACATGATCAGTAGCTCTCCAGGACAGAGATGATCCAAAAGTACCTTTTTTGGCATAAAGAACACTAAAAGCTGTCATGTCTCCTCTGAGTATGTCACCATTCTTTCTTTGGGTGTGGTTAGAAAACTTCTCCAGGATTACAGAAAGGTATAATGTGTTGATCTAATGTCTAAAACATATTGGATATCGGAGTCATAGAAGGAGTCAAAATTGCTAATTCACCCATATATAGGTTTACACACATTAATTTGTCCTTTAATTCCTTTCTGCCTCTGGATCAATAAAAAATTTGTAAAGTGAACAGTGAAGAGTGATCAGGTACATGTGATAGAGGAGTTAAACAAAAAGAAGAGTTCAATTACCTAAAACTTTAGCTGTTTGAATTAAGGATGCAGGACTGTGCATTACTAAACGCAATGTGAAAGTTTCAGCTTTTAGACGCAAGCAAAACTGAACAAGTCTTTAGTATGTGAGTAAGACACAGTCGTCACAACAAAGACGATGAGTTCAAATAGCAATTCCAAGAAGTATTAGTGTAATTTATGTTATTAAAACCACTTTCCCACCCCACTAATGCCTTCTCAGGTCAACTTTACTGATTAAGATTTGGTAAATGCCTCCACAGATTCACCCAGAGGGTAGTCTGCAATGGTCAGGTGTATCCCGAAGGTGTGGGGAGGAACAAGAAGCAAGCCAAGCGTAACGCTGCTCAAAATGCCCTGACATGCTTGTTGGGCAACCAATATGCCAGGTGAGTATATCACAGTGGCATTTCATGGTTTCATTTTGATGTGTCATTAATGTGAAGTGTTACTCGTTTATTGCAGCAATGAGGTAACAATGCAGAGTGTGGATGACAACAGCTTTAAAGAGACAAATTTCATAGGAATTCTCAACCACTACTGTCAGAAAACAATGCTCACCCATAATTACATCCAAGCGAAAAGACGTGGTCAACCACATAGCTCGCAGTGAGTACAACTGAACTTACCTCTGTAAGCTGAATATACACAACTGATCTGTATATAAAGATGGACAACTTCTCCACTTCCTCCTAGAAAAATGAAGCCAAAATGTCCCAGGTAGGGGCACTGCTGCCATCTTGGGATTTTGACGTTTTTTAGACGCAGTCTATACATTAGTGATCATGGTGTGGAGCTGCTGTTTCAAGGTCCCACTGATACACATGTACGGTCAATCACAAATCAGTTTCAGTCAATCATGTTTCACCCTGTTTTTATAGCATCAAATAATACTTTGAACCAAACTTACCAAGAAAATGATCCCTTGATAGTCCCCCCCAATGTTTAAATATGGTCGAATTGTCCCCAATGAACTGAATTGTAGACTGGCCGAATAGTAATAATAAAACTGTTATACTATGATGACAAGCTAAAAAGAGCAGAGAGGAGAGGGGAGGAGAAGAGAGGAGAGATGACTGCAGAAAAGAGGAGAGAGGAGAAGAGTAGAGAGGAGGAGAGGAGGAGAAAAGATGACTGAAGAGAAGTTTAGTGTAGGATCAATCAAAACCAATTTGCTAAACCTTTTTCTAAAATAACT